GTTGTATACATGTATTTCTAGTTTAAGCTGACCATGTTTCACTGTACCTTTTTGTGCCCTTTGTCCTTCTCTGTCCTTAAACTCGAGCGGTTCGTGCCAGCGTAGGTAGTGACAAAAACACCAGATAACTGTAAATGGCTGAGGATTTAACTACCAGAAAATAAAAACAAATAAAATTTTCACGTTTTAAGCGAAGGCTCTTTGTGCATGGGGAAGTTAATAGCATGCATGGTTCGGAAAAATACATGAGTTTTCATACTAATGAATATGAAGGATTACGAGACAAGAAGTGAACCAACCAGATGGATTGGGTAAAAAAGTGTAAACAAGAAATTCAAATCACTTCACAAAATATATTACTGAGCGATAAGGAGGAAGAATTATTATTTGTCAATTACGTAATCTTAAAATTTCAAAGTCTACCGGTATTGATAACATCCCTGCTATAGCTCTTAAATTGTCCGCGGAAGTTATTGGTCCTTCATTAACATGGATTTATAATCTTTCAATCAAAACTGGGATATATGTTGATGAATGGAAAAAGGCGTGGGTAATGCCAATTTTTAAATCTGATGATAGACAAAGATGTGAAAATTACCGACCGATATCTATATTGCCTATTGTCAGTAAAATACTAGAGAGATCGGTTTTCAACCAGATTTATAAGTTTTTGAATGATAATTCGCTGCTATCTAAACATCAATCTGGCTTTCGGCCTAAGCATTCAACTTTAACAACACTCATTCAAATGTGTGACACACTTTATGAGAACATGGATAATGGTCAGCTGAGTGGTGTTGTTTTCCTTGATATTAGAAAAGCTTTTGATTCTATTGATCATACAATCTTATTGCAAAAGATGAATGATCAATTTGGAATAAAAAATGTGGAACTGGATTGGTTTAAGTCCTATCTAACTAATAGAGAGCAAGCATGCATTGTCAACGGTGCAATGTCATCACCTAAAACGATTGTGTGCGGAGTTCCGCAGGGATCAATTCTTGGTCCCTTGCTGTTTTTATTATATATTAATGATTTACCCGAATGCCTCGAAAAAACTTCGCCACACCTATACGCTAATGATACTCAAATTTCTACTTCTGCTAAAACTATTGAGGAACTTACTGAAAATCTAAATAATGACCTGAAAAAAGTCGGTGAGTGGCTTGCTTGAAATAAACTGCAACACCACCCAACTAAGACCAAATTAATGTATATCGGTTCAAAGTATAATACTGATACTATGACTTATGATATTCCAGTAATGATGAATAACCAATTCATAACTCTTGCTCATTAATACACATGCCTTGGGGTTAAACTTGATGAAAACCTTAATTGGCATGAGCATGTTGAAATGATTTGTAAGAAAGTTGGGGCCGGCATAGGAGCAATGCAACGAATTAAGCCATATGTTCCTATAAATACCCTGCATACCATTTACAGAGCTTTGATAGAACCGTATTTTGATTATTGTAGTCCATTATGGGACGTCTGTAACCAACAGCTGAAAGATAAGCTTCAAAAGTTCCAAAACCGTGCAGCGAGAATTATAACCGGCGCCAGCTATGAAATAAGGTCTGCTAGTGATGTTCTTCGATCCCTTGCTTGGGAAAATTTAGAGATAAGACAACGTACAACTAAATCCACATTAATGTATAAAGTTCTGAATGATTGCGCTGGGCCGAACTTGAAGGATGCTCTAACGAGAAGGGACCTTGTTCAAACCAGTTATAATTTTCGCAATACTTATATTGACCTTACCCTTGCTAAGCCAAAACGAGAATTTCTAAAAAAAAGCTTTAAGTATAGCGGAGCTAAATTGTGGAATAGTCTTCCTTCTGATGCGAAGCTAGCGCAATCAATTTATTCTTTTAAAAACTGCCTGAAAGTTTCACGCTAACATCTTCTAACATACTGTATATGCATGCTTTAGAAATATGGGTCACACCGTTTGGAACTTAATTCTTGTATTGTAAATAGTTGTATATAATTCTTTATTCTTTTCTATATCATATTTGTAATTTTTAATAGTAACAAACGTCCCTCATGAAAATCAACAAATCGTTGACGAGGCTAACGTCTTTAAATAAAGTTTACATACATACATACATACAATATGCATGGGATTATCCGAAACAATATAAGGAACATAATGAAACAGTTTCATATTATCCTGACACTGCACTTGACCAACGAAAAGTTCGTTGGCTCGAGCGGGATTTGAACTCGCATCTTCGGGTATCTAGACAGCCGCTCTACGAGTCTGTCTAGAGCCATCGAGTCAACGTGGATTGGTAGCGAGTCTTATCCAATTTAAGTGCACGAAATATTTTCGTGACGACTAACGCTTGTCTTAGAGGACGCGCAGTGTCTCAATTCTATTTCAGAATCATCCTCAGAGATACGAAAAACTAGTTTTTCGTATCTCTGAAGATGATTCTGAAATAATAAAACAGGTATAAGAAATAAGGTGGTATTTAAAGTTAGGCAAGGAAGAATATAGCTATACATAACAAAAATGTTCATTTATACCACAGAGTGAACAGAGCTAAGTATCGTTGTTACCAGAAATTGGACAGAAGTCAGAGGAGTTTTCTGGTTACAGTTGTTAAGCTGTGAAATAGCTTGGACAGCGAATTAAAACAAATCCCATATGGATAATTTAAGAAGAAGATGAAGATAAACATATTTGAACACTATTTTAGCTCGTGGTCCATTTTTAGTACATATTGTAGGATTTAACTCTGAGCTTCTAATGCATCATATATTTCTACAATGTAGTAATTTTAACTCTACTATTTCAAATTTTAAAAGGTTATAATTAAATTTGTCTTTTTCACTAATTGTAAATAGGTATTGAAAAGACCTATTGGGAATATTTTTTAATAATAATAATAATAATAATAATAATTTTTAATAATAATAATAATAATAATAATGGAAACTTTTTATTAGATATTTACGATATACTATATATACATTGGTAAACCTCACTTAATAAAAGGTAGCTTATCGATGTCCACTTGAATTGAATTTAAAGCTAAAATATATATATACAGGTGAAAATCTTTTAAAATTAGTTAAAAGTTTAAAAATTCTGGGTTGTTCCAGTCTTTGTTTCGTCTACAGAATATATAATACGACGTGCGAATACAAGTAGCAATTATTTTCTTTTTTACATATTTAATACATTGATCGTCGCACTTCAGATCATGGAGCATATCAAATAAAGTATTCGTCAATTCACCAAATACACATAGATACATTAACAAACTTAACTTCATCATATATATTTTCTTGATCGGTAATTAGAGTCAAATATTTTTCATGTTTTCGATCTGAGTTAGTTTTCAGGTTTGTTTCGAATCCAACAGTTAATTCAAGAATGTACAAAATCTTATTTTCAATTGTCAATAGAAGGTCTGGTCGTAACTCGTTACCAGTGATGACAGATGGGCTAATAAATCCAGGCAGATCTACATACATTTTGGACCTTCCGACGTCGAGAAGGCTGGACGCAATGAGATTCAAAACTGAATCATGTCGCCATGTATATCTCCCTTTGTTTAGATTGTCTTACATCCAGAGATTACGTGCAAAAGCGATTCAGGACAGAAGCAGAACGAACAGTCTGCTGATGATGACAGACCCCATTTAACTAGGTTTTTCCTAGTAGGCAAAGAATTGTTGATGTAACGTAGACTGAAGTTAAATATGTTCTTAGGAAGTTTTTAATGAACCGATGACCATAGGGAATTGAATGTCAACGTGGAGTTTTTCACGGTGTTTGAGAAAAAAGAACCTTGTGACATTAGGTTATTTTGTAGTCGCTGTTCGTTTTTTTGTCTAAATGCCTTCAATACATCTTTTGTGTTTGAGTAAATGTCGTATTTGTTAAATGCCCCGGTACCGGGGAACGTTTAATACAAACTTTAGTAAAATTATCAATAGACAATACACATCAAGGGAGCACGCCGGGTTTGAATTTGTCACTAACCTTTACATATATAAACAGTGTCTACCAGCGATAACTGTTTGTATTGATTCTGTATTCAAAGCGATATAAAATATTTTTAACTTTTTATTAAAAATAACTGTTTTGCCGCCATTTTGAATATAAAGCGGTATACTCCATACATGTACCGCAGGCGCTTACGTTTATACGTTTATTTTATATAGTTTATTATTTAACAAATATAAAACATTTTCCGTGTTGATATACAGTTATATCAACACGAGTGGAAATTGGTAAAGCGAGAAATTGTGTGGAAACACGATGCCCGCCCGAAGGGCGGAGTGTTTTCACAGAATTTCGAGTTTTTCCAACTTCCACGAGTGTTGATATAACTATATATCAATACGGAAAAAATGTTTTATATTTGTTTTATAATATAGCAACGTCAAAAGCCCGAAGAATAAGAAAAATTTCCGTGTTAACAAGCGGCGGAAAATTGTTAAATCCCCGCGTTAAATCTCCGCGTGGCGTTAAATCCCCGCGTGGCGTTAAATCCCTGCTATTTTTCCCCGGCAAATTATATTTTCGTTAAATACCCGGTATCCCCGGGAAATTGTAGCGTTAAACCACGGCCCTGACCGCGTTAATTCCCCGCTATGCCGCGGGGGTCGGGGGGCCGTAGTTTCAATTGACTAGTGCATTAATTTAAACATTGCATAAACAGCATTCAGATACGAAAAATATGAACATCAACATAACAACATTCAACATGGACTGATGGACTTGGACATAGAGCCACAGTACTCTAAAGTTCTCATATAGACTTTATTTAACTTATATGTTGACCCAATGGTGAGGGATTGGTCAAATTATACTTTATAGTGATTCCCCTAGACTAGTGCATTGGTTATTGTGCAATGACAACCTTTTTTTTGGCTCTCAAAGGTTAATAATTTCTCAAACATGCCAATTCTGTACATGTTTAATATTAAATCTAATCTGTTTATTTTTTATTTTGCTTTTCTAGATTGCCAACCATTCCTGTTGAACTACATTGTTCATTACAATGAATCAGATGCAGATTCTTACAACTATGTTAATTTGTTCTTCTGATTGGGGAAAACCTGAGACTATTTGATCTTATATTGGAATGCCTACCAATTTTACATAGCCTCAGGCAATGTTTATATAATTAATCTTGAGTAATAGAGATGCTGTACCCCCTGACGGAGTGACCTTACTACCTGGATCATCCCACTAGGCAAGACAAGTTCAAAACTTTCCATGCAAACACTTGCATGGCAGTTGCTATAATAGGATATGAATATAGTTTTGCCTTGCCAGGGTGGCTCGGGGGGGGGGGTAAGATTTCCCTAGTACCCGGAGACCATATAGACAGGCCGTCGGATTACTGTAATAGTTTAATTGAGGTTCAAAAAAGCAGCCCCCTCCCCCAAAGTGGTAGGCCTGCTCCCCAAATCCAGCCCCCCTTGGAAGATGTACTGTAAAGCTAGACAATTTTACTTGTTAACCCAACTTTATTATTCTGTCTAACACCGGGCGATCCAGTTAACCCATTGAGTTGCATTGCATGTGCCCTGATGCACCCTACTTTATTATTTTACTCTGTCTAACGCCAGACGATTTTACTCGTCAAGGGGTGGGCACACTTTAACAGGCAAAGTATTAATTGGGAATACTTTCTCTTTTAATGGGAAACTCTTTATCAATAAAAGGAACAATGCAGTTATTCATAGTATTTAATTTTTCGTATAAAGCAAAGACTGTAAGAGGAAACATGGATCATTGGCTACTTTTTTTATTTAGTATTAATTTTCATGACAACATGTGGGGTCAACTATAAAGGAAACAGTTATTGCCTATTTTGGAATAAAAAATTAAGAATATAGCAATATTCATTGACATTGAACACATATTTAATTTATTTAGTTTTTGAATAATTTAAGTTCTTAAATGTATATAAATATGAAATAAAATAAACAACATTAATTAAAATAAACTTTGTATTTTTAAACCCCAATTACACTGTTGTATTTACATTTCACTGTTGTCGTATTTACACTGTCAGTAGTATTTACACTGTCAGTAGTAATTACACTGTAGTGTCACTTGGCAGTTTACACTGTCTCAACCAAGATCCTCTGAAGAACTTCTTTGCCCTCATTAGGCAGCAGGGGGGGGGGATTGTGACAACCAACTAGTTCCATCCAGTTCACCAGAGCATTTTGAATATTATTTGTAGATAATATTTTGACACCACTTTCAATTGGCACCTGTGCTGAAGATTCTGATGCCTATTTGATTGCATTTCACCCTAGCCAATCTGATTTATCTGCAGGAAATGATCAGACAGGCCCACCACTAATCCAAGCAGTTGAAGATACCGACTACAAAACAAATGAAATTGAACAAAACTTAGTCTGCATGAACTTATGTGTCAGGCTATTTATTAAGGAAGTGCCTTATCCAACATAGGTCATAGCTGTCCAATATGCCATCATAATTTTGTGACAAAGGATGTCAATGACAGCAGTCTCTGCTATTCTGCATAAGGCATAAGCATGCCTTCAAATGCGGATTAACAATCCGTAAAGAAACGTTTCTTTGCTGGAGAATATATTTGTGAATGTGGTTATTAGTTGCACAGAAAGTATTAAAAACATAGGTAGTTTAACTTTTAATTTTTGCTCACAAATCGCAAAGCTACATGCATGGAACCTGATGGACGTGTTTCAAATCAGCACCTATGATTTCTTATTAATGTAAAA